ATTCCTTTAAAAACTGAGGGTATCTATCTTCGAGAATTGCTTGTCTAGCTGAGTCCATCAATGCAAGCAGGTAATGAACATTATGCATGGTTATACTGTCAAGGTGGTCAGTAAGAAACGTAAAGGAAGAATAGAGATAGGTTGCACACGTACAAGTGTGCTCCAACGGTCTCTTTCGCCGCAAGGTGGTGCAAGTATGCTCTAGTAATACCGAGACCGCCTTGCTCTTTAGGCCGACAAGTTTTGCATTTGCAATTTTCATCTATCGGCCTAAAATCACGAGCGAATCCGGCACGTCGAAGGCCTAAAGTACCGTATGGTGTTAAGGCATTTCCAAAACGCTACAGTATAAGTCAGCCTTGTTTTAGACTTTGCAGGTAAATATGAAGTGCGTAACTCACGGCTGTTCGAGTTGGGAAAACGCAATCAAACATGTCGGCGCCTAGAGCAACAGCTACTACTAGATCTTCTTGGTATCCCTGAGAGACGTTAGACAGAAGCTACCTCGGGGTTGTTAGAAAACCGGAAAACCCACCACACCCATAACATATCGAGGCTTATTCGTTGGTAGCATATCAGTGCAAGCGTCGACCCTGTTTATCCCCTAGTCAGATGGGCCATCATCCAATGCAAGACAAGAATGAGAGGTCACTAACACTTTACAAAACTCATCCTTCGCCTCTCCCCCAGATAGACCGCCAATTGCGATTCCAGGTGTGTTCCGTGCTACCATCTCTTCGCAGCACTGACGGCGCATTTCCAAGTCAAGTCCTCCTTGGATTATACAGAAAAGGTTTTGCCTTTCAGGGTACTTATGTGCATCTATGCACCGGTCCAGCCAACGTACTGACCTCTCCATTGCCTCCTGCATCCTTGCGTGGTCTGGGGACGTTGTAGCAATGACATCATCTAATTGCATAATTATGTCGGAGCCTATTGAATTTTGTAGGGATATTGAGTGCTCGGGCGTGAGTAACCTATCGAACCGGTCAATGCTCATCCAACGAGAGAGAATAACGTTGGAAGTCCAACGGATGGGGTGTAAGGGCGTACATTGGCGATCCATCGTGTGGACTCAAGAATCGTACACCCTCCTCCGTTACTTGTGCAAGCTTCAAGAGAGAGACCATCTGGAATCTATACCAGGGAGGGTAAAACAAGTTAGTCACGCAAAGTTCCAGGGGGCAATTCGGCCCGAATTCCCTGTACTGACAGGGTAAAAGTAGAAGATATTCAAAAAGAAATAAACCTACCCACCACTATCGGTCAAAATGTTACCATTCCACCCCTGAAACCTATGCGCTCCCCCAACTTCATCCAGCACAGCTTGTCCTGGCTTAAGGCCCAGATGATATGTATTATTCAAGCAAAGTTTGCACCCTGTCTGTGCAAGTTGATCCGGTGTTAGGCCTTTTAATGATGCTTGGGTTGCAACAGGCATGAAAATCGGTAATTTGACTGGTCCGTGGGGGAGGTGGAGGGTACTCGCGCGGGCTTTTGTGGTCTAGGGCATGTGAATTAGCACGCGTAGTGGAGGAGTTGGTACAGGGAAGAAACATTGAAACAAGGCATAAGTGTATTCTCACGGAGCATTTGGATTCAAGATCAAATGTTAATGCCGAAGGCATTGACCTCCTCTCCTTCCCTGCTGTGGAGGGGGTAGCCGTTGATGAAGCCATGACAACTTGACCATACGGCTCAAGCAAGGTGCTTTTCTTCGGTAGTGGCGAGAATACAATAGATCTAGCGGCGGAATGTATGCGCCGTAGGTATCTCATTGATCATATGCAGTATATATATCGTAAATCCACGGCAAAACGCGTCGAGTCCAACTCCCATTTCATCCAGCCTGAAGCCTTTTAACAAAATATGTGTTTTATGCTTTCTTTGCGGCGTTCTGGCCCTTCTTATATCCACGTGACTTATGCGTTTTTATGCACAAATAAAGTTTATGCTTTCATTTAATGCTGGGATGCTCAAACTATCCTTGTAGTAGAGACACAGAGACAGATTCGTTGGAAGAAAGATGTGTATTGTGATCATCTATATAAAACAATACTTATCTCAAACTGGTTGCCTGGCTTCCGACCGACATCTAACCAGTAGTTGCCTTGACTCGCCTTAAGAATAATTGATATGCATCCAGAAAAAACCCCAAAAATCGCCAATAAAGAGTAGAAAAAGTCCTAAAAATAGCCTATTGGTACGATTGAGGCCAGAATCCTAACACAAGGAAAATCATTAACTTCGTAGGTTATATTGCAGTTTCTGGATGTCGAGGCAAGTCGCATCGAAGTGAGCGTATATAGGGCGACCCATGGTGGGAGGATACAAGCCCATATTCAATCTGTCTGGACTGCAGAAGAGCTCCTCAACGATTATAGTTATCACCAGGGAGCTCAGAAAAAGCGGCTAGAGCCCTGTGGTTTCTAGTTGTAGCCTATTACTGCACCGTGTTCATTCACCCCAAACATGAACCGCGTCCAAGGCCATTCCACCAATCTCTCCGAGCCAGTCCTGCGAGAGACGGCAGATTGGATCATCCCCATAGCTGTACTCATTCATGTGCTGGAGATCTCTGAAGCAGTCTCGCAGCACTGAGTCAACTGCTAACTGGGGACTCATGCTGGTGTCTGGGATAGGCCATTGGTCCATACCTGCATTAGCCATGGGCGAAAGGTGAGAAGTAGGTAGACTTGTTGGGGAAGCCATGGGGCCCATCTTCATGGGTGAGACAAGAGACTGGGTGCCCGAAGCTGATGTTGATGTAGTTGGTGGTGGATTATTCAGTAGCTCAATTGCATCTGAGAGCACAGCATCGCTGAGACGGTGGAAGACTTCATGCGAATGACGAATGGCGCTCCATCTTTCGGAAACAGCGACCAGCACAGTTGAACAGGCCCGAGTTTCGTTGACGATTTCAATTATCGAAGGGTCTTCGTCGAGCATTACCCCGGCCGGTCCGCCCATTGCTAGTCTCCGCTTTGCACGGAAATGCCGGCCAACAGCATAGATGTATGAGAGCCCTGCCATGAACACAGCATGGAGGGTGATCCAGGTGTAATTGATCCGTCTGGAGCGGTGAAGATGTGCGTATAGGGTAATTGACTGCTTGGCCGCAGTAAAGATGGTCTGTATTGCGGTAGGTACTGTAGATGATATCGCCGGCAGCGCTGGGGAAGGGCGGTACAGCATCAGTAGTGCATTGTAATACAGGAGCTCATACCACTCGTGAGCACGGAAACTTGATCTGTCACCGGGTATTGTGCTGGACAAGTCCACAGCTGGCAAGCTGAGCGAGGCAGTGTCATGTCGCCACTGTTCGAGTTCTGCTGCCAAGCTGTCACGCTTAGACAGGGCGGAGGCTTCGTTGGATTCCTGAGATCCCGACTGGCCATTGTCCATGGAGAATAGGATTTTACCACAGATGATCCGGTACCGGACTATATGTACGAAAAGGGCAGTGCGAGAGAAACTATCTGTAGTTGGGTGGAAGCTGCTTTCTGGCGGATTTACCTCCAGGTCATATTGAGGATCAGGCAATGCCGTGTCTGTATCTGATAGACGGATCCCAAAAGGACGACCAAGAGTATTGCTCACGACACTAAGGATTTGTTAGCAAATACATGGACAGTTATGCACTCTTTGTCGTGTGTTTTTATTTATGTCCGGAGGACGTACCGGTCCATGGCAATGACACAGAAGAAGCACCGCCGGCCCACCTCCGCACGAACCATGTTACTCGGCGAGTCAGTCTCCATCCGGTCTGACGGTGTCCGGGGAGGATACGTTGATTCTCGATGAAGGCCTTGCTCGATGCATATGCGACAGGCAACGCCTACCAGGTGCCACATACCTATTTTCAAGTCAGCTCAGTTTTTGTCCGTGTGGGTAAACTGTATGCATGCAGAAATGGTCTCTGTACGTACTCGCAGAGGTATCCTGAATAGGGCTTCTCATCCGGTACTGGCAGAGCAGCAAGATGGCCTGCAGAGGCTTGATTCCTCCCAGCTGTAGCACTTCGGTCAGCTTCGACAGGGCAACGACATGGAAATTCTCAGCATCAGGCCGGGTCTGCCAATCGAATTTGTGATAGTCTACAGACGAGATCGCAAGGATCATGTAGAAGATGAAGCACGAGAAGACATCCCGGTCCAAGACGGACGGGTCACTGTATATCTGCTCAAATGCCGCGAGGACAGTTGGTCGATGCAGGAACGGGTAGCAGAGATAGTCGTGCTCGAAGTATGCATGGTGAAGGTCGCGCGCAAACGGCTCCGGCGGGATTTGATATGTCTCCGACTTTGCGGCAGGCGAGCCAACTGAGAAAGCACTGCCAATGCTGCCACCGCGGGCCGGATTCTCTGGATGTGACGCCCGCGGAGTGAACGAGCTCCTTGCCGGCGTCGATATCGGGACTGGAGCAGCATCGACGGTGGCTCTGACGAGGTTGGCGAAGAGCACGCCACTGCCGGAGCCCAGGAACTGACGGTCACCGCCAGCGGTCAGCGAGAGAAACGAGACCTCATCCGTCACTTCATTGTCACCCTCTTGCTTCGGCCGTTGCTGTAGCTGTTGCGGTTGCTGCTGCTGCTGCTGCTGACCAGGGCTGCTGCCGCTGGCATCGAGGCTGGGACTCTGCCTGGATGCTGCGACTTCAGAGCCGTTACCGGCGTTGCTGCTCTCGCTCTGTGCCGCCGCCAGCCTCGCAGCCAGCGCACGATTGGTTGCTTCACACTGTCTCAAACGCCGCTCCAGGCGTTCCACGACTTCTTTGCGATACGTAGGCTCCTTGGACCGGTCAGTGTAGACGCAGGCAACGTTGGCCTTCCGACAGGGACCGCAGACAGGCACCTGCTTGTCACATCGCGATTTGCGGCGATGGCAGCGATCGCACGCCTGCATGCTAGGCCAGGGCTGCTGCTGCTGCTGCTGCTGCTGCTGCTGCTGCTCTGCTTGCTTCGGACGAGGGAGACGAGGGAGGCAGACGGGCGGGTGAGATGGGCGTTGCTGTTGGCCGTTCGAGGTTCGCTGCTGGTGTGCGGGCGATGCAAGGGTTCGGTCGCCATGGCCGAGGCATCAAAAAGTCTGCCGCACGCACTAGCTCGTTAGTTCGTCAAACAACACAACGACGGCACACACACACACGCACGCACGCACGCACAAACACTACTACTACAAAGTACACTGCGGTGCACCCCCGGCCTCGTCGTTGCTAGTGGTGGACCGCCGGCGGCCTTTTCCTGCGCCTCCGAAACCATAATTTCGCAGAAGCAAATATAACCAACTGTCAGAATGGAAAAAGAAACGCCGCAGGCAGGCAAGACGTTGGTGGTGGTGGTGGTGGTGGTGGACGGCGACGACGGTGGAGGGTGATGTCATGCAGCGTGTCTGTCCGTCTGTTCTGCCCTTCAAATGCTGCAGACGGCGTAGCTAAGTATACGGATACATCCATGATATCAAGTGACGAGAAGTTAATGCACGGTAGGCAACGATCCCTGGCCTGTCATGCAGCTTATCTGACGTCTGGACTTGCTAGTTATATAATTACACAGCTGGCCATCACCAGGACGCCGTTGGACGGCGGACTTCCGGCCGGGAAGTTGTACTTATCCGGACATGCTCCCATGAACCTGTGGGGAAAGGACAAGCAGACGACAGGAGAGAGGGACGGTGATGATGAGAAGAGTGTGCATATGGTCATGGGCTGCTTGCATTTTTTTTTGTCTGGTTTAATGCCTAGGTGGTCTTATTCCTCCCTCAGGGGGGGCAAGAAAGAAGAGAAATACCCGTCCACAATCCTGGCACTTCCAACCTTGCATCCGATTCTCTCAGGGCCTGCCTCCCCTCGTCCGGATTAAAACATCGGGAGCGGAAAGGAGAGGGCTTCGAGAAACACGCAACCTAAATCTCCATTTTCGAGGTTGCGGCTAGCCGGAGGAGGAAAATGAACAGAATTAGGAAAATCGATTCAAGGAGACAAGACAGGCAGGTAAGAGTCAGAAAGAGACACAGAAAAAGAAAAAGGAGGGTGAAGATATAAAAGTCAGTAGGAGTTAAATGAAATAGCCGCCAATTTCCTGCCAAAATAAAAAGTAATAATAATAATAATTGGAAAAGCAATGCCCGAACTGTTTTATACACCTACCTCCCCAAGGCTCGGTTGTATATATATATATCCAAATAAAATGCCAATAAGAACGTCAATAGCATCGAAATAACGTCTCTGAAAACGTACACCGAGGACAGCATCCTCATGGGTCAGGGTGTTGCGTAAAGGAATATGAAGAAGAAAAAAAGTAAGAGGACATAATCCATAAATCATTCCGTAACGGTGCCCAGCAGATGTCGAGCAACCAAATAGTTTATGGCGTAAGATCAACACCTGTCCAGCCACCCTTGGGCTCCCGCTAGCGCCACAAAAACGCAGTGATAGCGGATGCTCCTAGGGACCCCGAATAAAAAGCCCCGACATCGTGGCTACTTTTGTTGCGCATATAGCTGTCCCGGCAGGGCGGTAGCCAACCGAGGCTGCGAGTTCAGCTGGGTAAAGGCCACTTCGGCTGCGTCCTCTTTGGCGTTGTTGATGTATTCTCCAGCATAGAAGTAGCGGGCTGAAAAGCTCGATCCCTGGATGCTCACGCTGCTAGACCATGCTGTGCGGCCGCCTGGAAGAAGGAGGAAAAAGAAGAGAGTTAACTTGGGAGTTCGTCTCTTTTTTGTCACCAAACTTTTAGGAAAAAGAGGAGTCTGTTGGGTGACCAGGTCGTGCTATCTTGTATGGAAAACAGGAGGGTCATATACACATATAGACGTGTATATAGGAGAGAAATAAGCGGAAAGAGAAGGCGTTCGAGGCTAGAAGAGAGGGTAAATAGTAAAATAGCTACCTCGGCGGTCCGAGACGAGATTGAAGACGGGAGCTTGGAGTTTCGACTGTCTGCAGTGCTCTGTGTTGGATAACCAAGTTAGATAAAAAAAAAAAGGACGCCTCGAGATATATTCCAGGACAATTGACGCACCACTGAGCTTCTCTTGCCATGACACACGAGCAGTACCACCGTTGGAAGCCATGGTCCTGAGGACAGAGAAAGAAAGGGTTCATATTAGTATCGGCTTATGTCTGGCAACCATGGCTAAACCCCACAAAGCACTCGTAGGACGGGGAGAGGTGATATAACTCACTGTGATGAACGCTATAGCTCAAATCTAAATAATAATGGAAAAAGCAAACAGTCGGAAACGACGAATGTGGTGTTCGTATAAGAATAAACAAATTGTAGTAGAGGTGGGAAAAGGATCTTTTGTTCGAAAAGGGCTGGCTCTTGTCTGGGTCTGTGAGAATCTTCAATTCCGGATGGGCGAATATATAAAGATATTTATATATATATATGTATATGTATATATATATATATCATGGAAACGAAGCTCGCTATAAAGTAACACAGGACAGCAGAGTCACAGGAAACTTGCCAACGAGGAGGAAAAAGGGGGGCATGGAACAATCAAGGATGTCGAGGATCACGACGTTCCTGCAAGCCCGGGGGCCGGGGGAGGGGCGGTTCGTCTTCAAAGCCGTTTGAATGGAGTTGGCATATGCATGGGTGAGGTTTTCTTCTTGAGATTTGTGTCAACCAAGTCAGTAACAAGCTAGGCGGCGGTCCACAGGCTTTGAAAATTCTGCTTTTTTGCTGGCTAGCTCACCATTTTCCGATTTTAGGACATGTCGTATGGATGCAGCAAGGAGAAAAAATAGCAAAAGTCAAAAAGAAAATTGCAGAGAAGGAGGGGTGGGATAGGTATAAATTAAAAACGGTACCCATTGAGAGTTGAGATGAACACGGGGAGATGGGCCGGCCCGCTGCAGCTGGTTGTCCACGAAATCACAGAAAGCACGCCAGCTTTGCCATTCTTAACTAGCCAGGGAATTTGTCTGGGGAACAGTGCCAGGGCGGCATGGTACAAGCGGCCGGCATTGCAGCCAGACCCTGTGGTAGGGCCGGGAAGACTGGAAGTAATTATGAGAGGGCAGGGAGAACAGACCTGAGAAGAGCCATGTCAGTCTGTATGTATGATTTATCGGTGGGCAACCCGGTGGGCCCACAAGCGGCCCCTAAAAGGACGGATTCGCAAGGGAATATCGAACAAGAGAAGGGAAGAGGGACGGAAAAAAAAAAAAAAAAAAAAAAAAGAAGAAGAAGAAGAAGAAGAAGAAGAAGAAGTGGAGGGGTAGAATAGATACTGATAGGTAACTTGAAACTCATAGTGAGCAACAGTCCATGGATTAGCCAGCAACAGGGTAGGAGGTCCTCGAGGGGATGGATGGGGTTGCTAATTAGCCGTCCGCTCCGTGTTAGGTATTCATTCCTATAGACGGCTTGCGTGCCTTCCCCCATTTTCCCCTTTCACATACGCACATACACATGTATCAAGACCATGGACCATGCCATGGCTCATCTGTACCTAGAGAATTTTCCCCTTGGAACGGGTTGAGTTAGTTGGGCAGCGTAGATCACCCACAAGAGGATCCAGCATGTATCTGCCAACTCATCAGCGTGCAAGCGAATAAGGGAAATAGACCCAAAAGAAGAGAGCCGAGCCGAACAGCGAGGGGGGGAGGAAAAAAAGGTGAGGCATCGAAGCCCATCTCCAAAATAACTACCAACTTAAAAATTGGAGTGTGGACTATAATATGCCTGGGAAAGGACCAAACGAGGCGGAGCGGTTGGGTACACTAGAGCAGAGAGGCAAAGATGCTCCGAATGAAGTCAAATGTATCGAGCAAGCAAGCATCTGGTCAAGTACCAGACAGGATGGACAAAAAAGGAAAAATAATAACCATCCCCCATCACTTGCTGACTGACATCTTTAATCTCGGCGCTGCGTCCAGTCAGGCCGAAGAGTGGTAGCTCGCCCTGCGTGAGCACCCAGCATCGAACCCTAGGCCACCGCAGGGAGCCAAATCGTGAGGCGTGAAATGTGGCTGGTCCGTCAGCATCAAGACTGACTAAAATGTGCAATCCAGATCCGGATTGGACTCCTGATGGGAGGGTGGAGCAAGAGGTATGCAGAGAAACCGCAGGGAATATGGGATGGAGGTTCTCACACATCTTGCTCCATCATGCTCAAAAAGAAAAGAAAAGAAAAGAAAAGAAAAAAAGAAGGGAAGAACGCAGTTTTAGGAAAAGAAACGTAGATAGAAAAAAAAAAAAAAAAAAAAGGGAGGAGAGAGATGCACACAAGGCAAGACGGCCAAGGCACGTCAAGGCAAGCGTCCTTTGAGTAAAATGAAGCAAGTCGCTTGCCTGCTGCAGTTCCAGCCAGGCCGACTTGCAGCGAGACGCGGCACCAACGGGGGGAACGAGAGAGATGGAGCCTTTAGGAAGAGACGTTTGCAGGCCAGGGAAGGCTTGAATGCTTTTTGCTGTGCTGATTCGCTGCTCTCTCTTTTCTTTGCACTTCGTCTTGGTTGGGCATTCATGCCTGCAGCCTCAGCACGACAGCTTTTGAATAATTCCACTGACTTAACCGGATCGTAGTCAGCAGAGGAATATCTGCAGTTGGACGGGATTTGGCTGCACCCTTGAGTCATTTCTGTTTTCCTCTTTTGCCCTTTTGGGATGGAAATTTGAGTTGTCCCTTTTGGTCAATGTGATGTTTTGACTGGTCGGGTAAAAATTTCACGAACTCGTTCGTTTTGCTAATTGCATTGCGTCGTGACATCTGAATGGTTTTTGTTTTTATGGCGGATCAAAAAAAAATTCCCCGATGGATTGGACGCCAGGCAAAGATAAGTAGCCAATGTAAAGGCGAGGAGCCGATAGCTTCGATTGAATAATAAATAGATGGTACAGCGCTTGCATGGATGAGCAATGTTCTTTTTTTTTACCCAATTGACATCCAAGTATTTAAATATTCTAGGGGGGACATCCTGGTAAACGATGCACATCACTGCCCGTGAACCAGAGACAAATTGCCAAAAAAAATATAAGGAAAGAAATGAAAAAATCCGAAGGGGAAAGAGGAAGAGGAAAAGGGGACCACAGATAGATCGAAGTCGAAGCGAGAAATGGAACCATGGGTTTCGATGTTCTGATCCAACCCAACCCGAGAAAGTACCATGGCTCCATCCAGGATAATAAGACAATTTTGAGAAGGAGGCGAAGGAAGAAAATGTACAGCAAGGCGAAAGTCGTGATACATCAGTTTTCGAATTATCGTTAGTAAATCTTCGTCAATACGTTGCCCCTTGACTGATCGACTTTAGCATCTCTCTGAGGGAGCCTGCGTTGTTCGATCCGGTTGAGCTCCGTCGGTGAAAAACCTTGTCGATGAACTTCGTCGAAGTGACGGACTCCACGCTTCTCATGAATGAAGAAGCCATGGGTGATGCATGATGGGAAGTTCGCCTCGAGTGCCATCTCCGTTCAATGCAGTCATCTACAAACGCCACGAGACCAGTCGCGACGATTACGCTAGAAGAGAAGATTAAGCGAGAAGCCGTCAGCTAGCAGCTCTGAGGAAGAATGGAGGGTTCTCTGAAGTATACCAGGCTTTACGGTTGGGTGGTTGTACTCACTCAGCAACATCTTTCATCTTTTCGTAAAGGGTTGGGTCGTTAATCCACATCGATGACGACGGAACCCATGCGCCTTTCCTTGCCTCGATGGAGAGCTCTCTAGGGGTCAGCGGCTCAGGAATGATATGTGCGACAGGGTTGGATGTTGCCTGGTGGTAGAGGTGATATGAGACCTCTTTGGATGGACCGTCATTGCGAGTCACCTTTTTCCATTGGTATTTTGCATCCCAGTACTCGAACTCATACCTTCGGGAACCGACAGACCCGCGTCTCTTGAGCTCTACATGTGCATAATTGGAAAACTCCAACTGGATGACATTGGCAGAAGGGGGCCGGTTAGGAGTATATGCCGACCCCGCATACTTCCCACTGCCAATGGGCTCGTCGTCATCCAATCCAGACTTATATCCCGAGTCTGGTCTTCTCAGACCCTTTGAAGGTCTCGTGCCCGCACCTGCATGAGAAAGGAACCCTGAAATTGGATTGCTTATGTGTTTGTGGCCAGACGACCCCGGTCTCGATTTGGGCACCTGTGGTTTTCTCAGGGAATGACAGACTTCCCTTCTTGAATCCCGACAGTATCGACGGAGTGAGAATTTCTTATCATGGAGATCGTACATGCGCAGGTGGAACAGTATCGTTTCATCCTGGCGCCCCGGGGACTCCGCTGCCAGGGTGGTGACCCGCAGGTTCATATTTCCATCCAGGGTGGTATCGTCATGTCTGACCATGAGCCTTCTGGATGAAGGGAACAGGTAGCCGAAACTTGGAGGAGTGGAAGGGACTGCATTCGAGGGGATCACCTCACGCCTTTCCTCGACAACTTCAACTCGAGGTTCGGTCGTGGTTTCATGCACAGAAGCATCGCTCGAGACATATGTGTTAACCGACTCTGCGCTGGTGGAGTTGTTATTTGGAGGCTTAGCGCTGAGATGTTCCCCTGCCGTGCCACCCGGAGCCATTGCTGCTATCATACAAGAGTTTGTGTGTGTGGATGTATACGCGAGATATGACTGAGAACTAGGAGAGCGCCACGCCTGTCCTTGAAACGCCTCACCTCGAAAGCATCATCAGCAGTAAGTATCTAAACGAAGCTTGTCTTGGACCATGGAACTGTAGAGGTGGCCAAAATATCGTCTGTGAGCTGTTGCAACGCCGTCCACAGGGATAGAACAGCCGGAGCTATCAACTAGGCTGGTAACAGATAAAATCCTTAGGAGCGAGCTCGACAACAGAGAACTGAGGACTTTGTAGCCATGTCCTTCTACCGTGACGTCTTTCTTTAGTGAATAATAGGATGTGAATGAGGTAGCAGAGGTGAGGCAAACTCGGGCAGCCTTATGTAGGCATTGGGCCAACGAAGCGCAGGAGCGGTAAGCAATACGGCTGGCGACTAGGACGCAGGCATTCCCATACCCAGTAGAATGCCTATGCCAGCTCTCCCCTTGGTCTAAGGGCGATGGTGGCTAGTAGAATCAGCCCTCGAGGATGCCCGACGTCGTTTGCGTCTTTCGTGGACGTTGGAAGTTCGACGGGTGTTTTGATTGTTCAAGGCCGTCCATCACATGACCGCAGGCGAGCCCTGGGGTTACATAGCCCCTTTTCTCCTTTTGCCCCTATCCTTGTTTATATGAGGAGGTACAGAGCATGGCAGCGCTTTGTAGGGAGCTTCAGATGATGACGGTATCCGGCTGCTGGAGGACTGTGACAAGCTTGACACACGTCCTTGGCTGGGCTTATTCTGCCCTGGACACGACGCAGGCTTAACTAGTTCGTGGCTTGACACATAGGGTAGCATGACGAGCTGGCAGTTTAGCAACCCTATCAAAGTTATATGATAGTTACGGGTTACCGGAAAAGCTTCATTGCTAAGGTGTTAAAGATATACATAGAGAGTAATAATAACTGGGATAATTATTAGTTAACTAGCTATGGGTCCATCCGTAGAATTTGGCTTGGGGTATCAACCTGTCGGGTCTCCCAGTCCGAGTGGATACCAACCCCAGACTTTGTATAGATAGAAGCTGATTATAATGCCAGCCGTTGGCGTCATTGATGTATATATATATAGATAGATAAATATATCGTATTTCCAGCGTATTATATAGTATCAACAAGTATGTAATGCGGCTTATGATCGCAGCAAGGCCCAGAAACCGATAGCAAAATGAATATGAAATACATAAGAAGGAAAATGTATGACGGTCCACCAACTGGATCCTGAGAACCAGCGTAAAAAAGAAAATAAAAACACAATCCTCCGGCATTATTATTGAAGCATTATCACCGAATAATGGACGTGATTGTCGGGTTTGTTACACCACGATGCCGACAACAATGCCGACAGTAAAGATGACGGCGAATGCGGTGCTGAAACGAGCGACAGGAGCAGAGTTGCCAGTTGGTTTGGGAGCGCCAGACCCGGTTGGGGAGGTTGGAGAGGACGACTCGCTGGGGGAACCAGTCTCGCTGGGGAGGCTGGTCTGGGTGGCAGTCTCGTTCACGTTTTTGCTGTTGCACCAAGCCTCGTGGTAAGGGATCTTTTTATCGAAGAGGCAGGATGTGAGGTCCTTAGCGCTCTGCTTATAGGACAGGCAGTACAAAGCGCAGCCGTTATCGTAGGCAACGACGGGAGCGCCGTTGCAGCACATTTTCATGAGGTCGCGGTTATTGTTTTGGTTTGGGACACCGCAAGCGACGTCACTGACTGGGAGGTCATACTGCGTAGGGGTGCCGCAGAGAGCAGTGTTGGACGGCATTGGGCCAGAGGAGGTGGTAGAAGCCATGGCTGGTATATTAACGCGATAAAAAGCGGGAGAATAGCTAGAAATGCTCCGTACAAAGCGAGTGACTGCGCAAGATGAACGATTGTTGCTGATGTTTGCTGGAAAAGCTTTTCGATGGCTTTTAATAACACAAACTCCTGGAGTTGTCTCAGCCTCTCGGGGGGCGCTTATGTAAGTTACGTCTCAGTTGATCAGCATTGACCAAATTTGAATGCTCACCAGGGAGTATCTTAGGCAAATTGATAGTCGATGCCCTGCACTGGGGTCGGCATAACATGGTCAATTCACTCCCCGAAAGTATTCCTCTATATATATCATTTCTTGAAAAGCCAAAGAAGTGGATGTCAGGCGGCGCTTCGCCAAGTTTCTACCTACTATCTATGCTCATGTATCCTGAGGAGGCTCCCCGACCACGCCTGGAAAATAATCATCCCATTGTGGGTCATGCAAATCTGGAGGTGCATGGCTAATCTTTAGTGTCTTTTTCCACTGTTCCTTTTTGTATTCTTGGTAACTGTTTGTTCGGATATTGATGGACCACGTTTCGCATTTGGTCGTAAAATAGCCTCCCCCCTTATGATTCTCTCCCGACGTGTGACATCTATCCACTATCTGTCGGAAATTCTGTCCACACTGGTCGTCGACATCGCCACGGCCACTAACAACAAAATCCCTCGGACAGTCTTTGTAATCTTTTACTCTGCTTATCTGGAACGTGACGTAGGATTTGCACTTCCCCTTGCTGCAGTCTCCGCGGACAATAACTGCGGGAGACGTTCTGTCTTTCCATACCCCAATTTCATCACCAGCAAATTTGTACCGGTCATACTTGCGGCAGAAGAAATTTATGCCAAGAATCAGTTCTTTGCGATCAGCCACACCGTTTCCGTCATTATCGCAAAGGAGACTACCCTTGTCTTGGACGTGTGCGGTAGTGAAGGTTGGAGGAAGGGTCACCGTCACCGTCCGAGATGGTTCCTCCTTGGTGGTAGAAGTAGGTCCAAACCGAGATTTATCCCGCTTTACTTGTGCTGCATGAATGCTATTCGCAATGGATTGGTACTTCTCGTCGGACAGGAGCGTATGAACTGGGTAGTGTTCGCTAATAGTGAGAAATTTCCCCTTATCAACTGTGGTAGACTTGGTGACCGTGGTTTCTTCCACTGAGCAAGCCGTCACGGTCGAACATTTAGTCTTGGTAGTGCTGGAGAATACCGATTCGCTCCGTTTAAACTTATAGATAGATTCCGTGCATCTGGGCGCGGTATCTGGTCTTTCGCAGTCATCAGTGTCCTGTTTGCATTCAGATCCAGTACAGAATCCGTTTTTGCATCCCTTGCCCTGGCATTTAAAGGCCCTGCAGCGGGGACCCTTACAGACAGGTGGACATCCAAGGCAAGGTGGTAAGCAGTCGGCGCCGGTACAGCCAAAGTTCATGCAGTGAGAGTCAATACATTCACCATCGTCATTGCATTCGCCGATGCACCCAGGTGATTTGCATCCCGGTCCCTTGCATCCTGGTAGACAGTTCTCCCCTACACAAGGTATCCTGGCACAGTTTGGGCCGAGGCAAATTCCATCATGACAGTCAGGACCAACGCAATCGAAGTTGCTGCAAAGGTTCCCCGGTTTACAGTTCCCATCTTCGCACTGCGGACCAATACATTTCCGACGATCCATGTCCTTCGGAGGGTCGGGATCATTCGGGTCAATAAAGTCTTTCCCATGGTTAGTGCAGTCTTTGTCTTTGCAGTCACAAAACACCCCTTTGCATTTCTTTCCACAGTCCTTTGCGCATGTAGGGCTAGGGGGCCCACTGGTAAACGACACGGTTGGAAGCTTCCCATTGTCACGGACTGAACTAAGTGGATATGGTTTTGGTGTGAACATTCGAGATCCTGGAGGAGGGGTTGGAAAATTGCCGCCTTTATGGGAAACTTTGCCGCCTGGGAAAGGGATAATGACAATGTCCGTGCTGGAATCGGATTTCTGGTTTGGCGTTGGGTGTGAATTGTGGCCATTTGTAGGAGTATTTGAGGCTTTATCAGACACCCGAGGCGGGACTCCGGTGGTTTGCCGCTCGGAAGCATGGCCTGTATTTGACGGAGTGCTTTGCCTGTCACCCGGAGAGGAGGTTGGGTTATTATGTGGATTTGGGTTAGGTTGGGTGGTATGTCTGCCAAAAGTGTTTTTGGCGGCCTCACTGGATTCTCGAGAGAGCAGATCTTCGGTAGTAGAGGTGTCAGGCCTTCTGCCTGGTGTAGGCCGGCTATCGCCTTGTGTAGGTTGCCCATTATTAGAAAGCTGGACACCGCCCCTGCTAGCTTGACCATCGTTATTAATAGAGTGCTCATTATCTTGAGTTGGTTGACCGCCCCTTTGAGTGGATTGATCACTCCCGTGAGTAAGTTGACCACCCCCTTGGGTTAGTTGACTGCCCCCCCGAGAAGGTTGAGCAGCCCCTTGAGTAAGTTGACCGCTGGCTTGAGTAGGCTGATTACCACCACGAATAGGTTGGCCACTGTGAGGTACCTCGGGTTGTCCAGCTTGATGGCCGCTTCCTGTATTTTGCGGAGGAGCTACAGCTCCTGCGGGCACGCTGTTAGTTATCATAAACGGGGGTGGTAAAATGCTACTGATTACTGCGTATGTTGTTGAGGATATATCTGTTTGAGTAACCGGCCAATGCCACATATCAAGGACAGATGTGGTGAGCGGCGGAATATTGATAGTTGTCGGCTGGATCGTCCTTACGGGCCCAATGGAGCTGGAGATCGCACCACCAGGGAGAGTTATAGCTTGAGCCGTCCACCATAACACTTCCAGGGAGGTTGTGTAAGGGGGGAATGTAATAGTAGTGACCTCATCAAGTGTAAGCCGGGGCATGATGAAGGTACATGGAGGTATACACGCAATTCCAGGCTTGTCGACCTTGTATATCTCGGGGGAGATATAAACATCACCAGAGCCGCTATCACCCCCTTCTAGGTCAGCGCCATCAAGGCTTAATGTGTTCCCATTAAGCTCATCTGGTCGGCTCATGGTGCCCGGGCCTCCAAGATCTAGAGCCCAAGCAAATGTGCCTCCTAGGCACAAGTTATTTGCAAAGGAAGCTTTTTGCTTCAGTGTTCTTGCATCGTCGAAGGAAACCCTATTTCAAGTCTCTTTCAGCAATATTCCACGCCCGTAAGGGAGTTTGAAGGCAGCCTTACCATTGATCACTATCCCAGGTAATCCAATTGACTCCCGCCTCATCGTTGTAAACCAGTTCGGGCGATTTCGATTTGAGAATTCTGTTAATTTCATAATTAGAGAGTGTCCCACTGTTCAGAGTACAACGACCTGGACGAGCTCCGCCGGAATTTTCATCTCCCGTCCTTTTGAATGAACAGCCGGGGCTATTACATCTGGGATCGCCTAGAGTGAAGGAACGTCCGTAAAAGCCGAGTCCCAATAACACCTTTCCCGGAGGAACAGAATTACGCCATAGTAAATCTAGACCGGCGGATATTTCTGCAGCCAATGAGTTAATACGAGCATTAGAAAAAGTTTGACTATAGTGCCTCATAGTCTTACCAGTCAAGTTTGTATGTGGGTTAATAACTTCTTTTGTCCATTCGCTATGGCCATCCCAGGTACCGTGGATGTCATAGCTCATGACATTGAACCAATCAACATACTTGACCATATTCTTGAGATCAAACCCTCTGAGATACCCTATTAAGCGACAGGTAAGTTTGATGAACTATGTATCCCATAACACCCAGAAGATTTAGTTAGGGACAATCTCTACTAACAGTAGGAAGCTGGGATTGCCATGCTGAGGCCATACTTTGTCCCAAAAGCATCTTTCAGCTCTCTTAAAAGCAAGACATAGTTCTTGTAATCCGCCTTAGAGCCGCCTGTACAGAAAGACGTGAGCTACCTTCAAAGCCACAGTAAGGAGTGCGATGAGGATAGAGAAATTACCGCGATCGTCTGCCACAGGATACTCCCAGTCAATATCAAGACCATCAAATCCGTACATTTCCAATGTTTTAATGACTGAGTCAATAAAAGCTTTTCGAGAAGCAGCAGAGCTTGCCATGACGGAAAAAACTTTGCCACCGGCGTCCCATCCTCCAACGGACAGAAAACACTTCAAGGATGGCTTCTTGGTTTTCAAATTGGTAAAAGCACGGTAAAACTCATCAGCGTAATAGCCCGTTGTACCAAGGGTATGGTCCGGATTGATGGTAGCGAATGCATAATTAAGATGCTGTTTTTATATTAGCTATTATTTTGGAAGGAGGGAAAAGAAAATATGGAGAGCTATACCGTCCAGGGTTTGTAGTTTATATGCGAAGGATGGAGAGTATCGCATGGATGCTCATTATTCCAACCTTCAAAGTACCCCACGTAGCGTTGCGTAGCAGAGGCGCCGCCCGCGCACGATCTGAGTCCAGGTCCTATCAGGAACGAAGCTCGGCGTTATTTAATAATAGGTAAGGCTTACGGTGTTTTGACCTTGTCACATCCATTGGCACATCCTTTGCCACAGAACTCCTCGGAGGTACCACAGAACCTGTACCGGTACATATTAGTTTTGTAAGATAATTGAACAGTGAGCGGATGTGTTACTGGAATAAAATCGCACCCCCATTTAGAACAGCATACATTCAATGGACACTTTTCCTGCCCCTTGGGTGCATACTCTAGTAAACCGTTAGCCTGTGTAGAGAAGAGAGTGTAGATAAAAACCACTAGTTGCCTATGTTCTAAGTGAAAAGCTGGTAAAATGATAGAAAACAAGGGGAGCATGAAGCACTCAAGAGATCTTAAATCTTTGATGTTAGTATATGCTGTTGACATAGTACTTACTTCCACATTCTGCCTTTGCATCACAGCCAGATATACATACTTTGGGTCCGCAGAAATCAGGCCCAAATCCACAGCTGCCAAACTTGCTACAGCAGCCGACTTTGCATTTCTTCGAGGCTGAACAGGTGCTATCAGATGCAGGAAATGCATATAAAGTTGTCAGGTTTGAGAGGAATAAAAGGCTTGCAAAGAAGTATATTTTCATGATTCCTAGGAGCTGGGGTGCCCTATGAGGGAGGATGTCATGGGAATATGGATATGGTTCCTTATAGGAATGGGACGAATTAAATTTGCATAAAAGTAAACTAGAGAATCCAAAGGGTAGAATTGGAGTTCATATAGGATTCTGTTTGGGAATACTATATACCGTCCAATTCTTCCTTTCTTTCTTTTACTGCGCAAATCGCACAAATGTCGAGACATAATTGTAAGAAGGATAGCATTCGTACAGCGCATATTTTAGTGACGCAACGCAAAAGTGCACTTGCCAGATAGTGATCGCATATGGGCTGCATGGCAATGGGGCTGCGAAGAAAAGAGTCGGGCATATGGTGAGATTGGGTGTCCACGTCGCAGCGATAGAGCTAGCATTGTAGGTTAAATATTTCAGTCAGTGCTAAAAGAAGGGTATTCGGTATATTTAGAGTATCTCAAGGGCAGTTAACCCATGGACTACATCTATAGTAGTACAAAGTACCCGTCGAGGCAGCCCTGTTGTCCGAAGATGAAAGCCAGTCGCGAATTTCATTTCACTTTCAGACGGGATAGTTTCGAGGTAGAAGTGGCATCTTTAATGCTTGGGCCAACGCAATGATTGTTCCAGGTAACCTCATTTTAGAACCCTCCAATTCAGCCGGCCCGCATCCAGGCGGATTGCTTGTTGATGCCGGTAATGATATGGAAACTTGCAACTTTCCAACCTCAAGTCAGGTAGGGCTGCAGCGACTGGCGGCTAGATCCGCGGATCATTATTTTTCCATAAGTTCTTGGCACAAACGACTTCTTCCATTGGACAGTAGCCGCCATGCCAAGCAACCTATAAATAACGCGTCAAATATCAGAGGCTGGAAAATGACAGGTGGCAGTACCTGGGAACGGCTGTACTCGAGAAGCAGGAGCCATCAATTTTTACTATTCATCCTCGGATCCCCGAAGTCTGGCCGTAGACTATGGTATGGAGATGGAATGGTGGCCTCGACGCCCTGGTTCGCCGACCAGTACCTACCAGGTGGAATCGGTTCAGTACTTCTCCTATATCCTTCCTTGCAAGCCTCATTTACGAATGGAGATCGTCGATTCCTACCCGACCAATAGCCACCATATCAGATAAAGCCATCACTGTCGTGTGCATCTCTGACACCCATATGACTAAACCGCATATACCAGATGGCGATATTCTGTTACACTCCGGGGATCTCACCCAGTCTGGCTCACAAGACGAGCTCCAGCAAGCTCTTGACTGGCTGAATACATTACCACATCAGCACAAGGTTATAGTAGCTGGAAACCATGATTGTTGTCTTGATCACTCATTCAAAGCGAGCAAGACACTCTCGCATTCAGGGGCGCCGCAGAAGTCTATCGATTGGGGAAACATTATTTATCTCCAGAACACTAGCGCTACCCTAGACTGCTGTGGGCGCAATATAAACATCTTTGGGAGCCCTGTCAGTCCCAAACATGGAAATTGGGCTTTTCAGTATCCGCGGAAGGAGAATGTATGGGAGGGCATTATACCTCCAAACACCGATATTCTGCTAACTCACACGCCTCCACACTCGCACCTAGATCTTTCCTTTGGCTGCAAATTCCTCCTTCAGGAACTATGGAGATTAAAACACCGACCAATTCTTCATGTTTTTGGTCATATACATGGGGGCTACGGTCAGCATATGGCATATTTTGACAAGTTCCAATCGATATATGAGAGTATCACCAAAGGAGATGCAAGCATTATCAGCTTGTTGATTTTAATATATGAAGCTATGAAAGTTTTACTCTGGAGAGCTCCAACTTCAGGCATCTGGATGGTGAATGCTTCTATGATAGGGGGCGTTAGAGATGAACTGACAAGAGATGCAACAGTTGTACACATTTAGTTTGATCGGGCTGGATCTATTCCAACATGTGTCAAAGAGCGTGTTATACACCTCATACGACGAGGCGTCTAATCAATACTTGAAAGGGCCCTACAATCCATTGATTCCTTGAAGGGACACATTAATCTGACTACCCGTGTATAATGCAAAGCGTCATCTTACCAGTTCTACTGTCGACTACTACCCTGCATATTCCTTTGTTTTTTTTTTTATTCCTTTGGGCGGAGCCTTACATCCGAGATCTAGGGTCACCTAATACTTAACAATATTATGTGTAACCCTGTAGGTAGGGGCTCAGATATGTCGTCTTGCTCTATTATCCTGTCTAATAATAAAGCAGGGTCTCCCGGTATCGCTGAGCCGTGGGTACTGGACAATCGGCTGGCAAATCTGCAGCCGGGTTGAAGATATATCATCAAGCCATACCCACAATCCGAACGTTATAAACGAGCACATTTTTCAAATTGCTTAACGCCAGGTCGCAAGTCATCTGTGTCGAAGCGGAACCAAGCAGCAGTTGTTGTCGTGGTAGCCCAATTATTCTGCTTAAAGGCGGGAATTTACCTTATGATGTGGACTCCAATACCAGTGTCACACAAATCACAGGGCGCTTTTCTGAGACGTTTTTCAGCGTACTTGAACAAAGACATCATATCTCCAAAAGGATTGGTTAAACTGCCATACTCTCTATCACGTCAAAATAAATATGGCATCAATTAACAAACCAGGCGTTTCAAGAAAGCGATGTGGGTTTTTATTGAGCCCCTGGATTTGAGAGAGGCTCTGTTCCACCAGATATATCCCTGTATTTCAAAGATATATCGAATTCCGTCTGATGGAGCCAAGGCGTCGAAGATGTGCGACTCACCTGGCGCTGTGGATTAGTCCTTGAAGCTCAAGCAATTTACCCCTGTTCCCCAAGACACAACCACAGCAAAGCAAGCCCTTCTACATGGCGTTCGGGACACTGCAAGAAGCCAATGCCTTATGCAACGAACGTCGTCAGCGTAACGCATTTGCTTCTGGAAATCAAGTTACTTTTAAGAAAATAACCTTAACACCTTACATAGTATACCCTGAGATTCAAACTTCTTCTTTTATCAATCCAGGGGTCACGTCTACTGAATCTAGTACCATAGCTGGAGTCAACACAGCTGTGACACAGGTAGCCTCGATAACCACACGCTTATATCGAGGTAATGATAAAGCATTTTTATCTGGTCGCGCTTCGGCCACAGCCAGCATGTCAGCGAAAGGGACTGTACCTATGTCTTTAACGGATTTATCAATGCCATACCACTCTTTCCTCAATACCCCGGGATCAAAGAGTGAAACAAAACGGGACTCTTTGTGTCTACCATGCTTTTATAAATAGTTACTTTTGCCGCGGCCAGCCAACGGGATACAGCTCAGGTTGTTACATCCACGACTCGTTCGATTATTTTTGAACAGCTTTTCCAAGCGGTTCTTGCAGAATACGATGGGAGGGTCCTACTCACCATCTAGTCTTACCTTAAGGCGCCTTATCTCCTTTGCCCTGTGGCTATCTGTACTATACCTCTGCCATGCAGCGTCAGCACTCAAGATACGGCCTCATCCTGGGTCCAATTCAACACGCCTAGCTCATCCAATATCAAGAATTACAAACCTGTACCAGTGTCGGGGAAACGAAGATAAAGTCCACCATGCTCTCCTTGGAATCACACTCGGGGTACGCCAAGCAAGCAATCTTCTATGTTGATGTCAACAGTTCAATGCATAGCGGCAAGGGATTAACCTGTACGAATAGCTCAGCAAAGCCCGTTTGCGATTGCTAAGGCTACAGAGAGTCTTAGAAAGAAACCCAGTCAGCGAAACCAGCCTGAGCGGCATAGATCGCTCAACATTATACACCTTTGAGAGTCTCTATGGGACCTCTTATCTTCCAAATACTCCGGGAGGTTACATTGGCAGAACTCGGATAGAACATGTCATAGGTTTGGCAGCGTGAACCCCTTGCTCCCGCTAAATCAGTGATTTTCTGAGCTGAGCAAATCAAACAAAAATTTCTGCTTTCTAGCTATGATGGACCGACTGATTGAAAACATCCCCGACATGGGTTTTGATATATGGTGTGACGACAGCTTTCTGACCCTGACCGGGCCCCCCGATGCACCACTACCGCCGCAGCCTCATGAAAGTAGGTCCGGATACGCCAATATCTGACAATATATACAATACTGAGATTTTACCTTTCTTTTTATAGATCCGCAAGGGGCTATGGTCTACTGGGACAACCGGCCATTAGAAGTCAATGGCCAAGCATGGGTCTTGATGCCAGTTCCTAAGTGTGATGAAGACTTGCAAGCCTTCCATATGGACGGAGGGCACCGCGAAATTATCGTCTTATGTCCCAAGATGTTCGAACACTACCTTGACTTGGGAGACTATCAAATCGATATGACATCCCGCCCCCCGACGTTCTCCAGAGGCATACACATTGACAGTTTTGCTACTTCGTTGATGTTTGTCCTGGTCCATGAAGTATCGCACTGTGACTACTTCCTTCAGGGCCTTGCGACCAGTACGATAATACCCCGAACCCCAATCAGCCGGGCCATTTCCTTTCAACCCTCTAACAGGTATCTTTAGGTGATATCCCAGCAGATGCCGACGGTTATGGCTGGCAGGAGGCAGTCCGCCATGCCGACAACAACCATCTGTATGCATTGGAAAATGCTGGTAAGTCGGGAGTGTCTAACTGTTTCAATGATGCAGCATGCTGACCCATCTCGTCTAGACAATTTTGCTCTTTTTGTCCTTGGTAGCTATGACCCCTCTGATCGCCATTCTTTCTATCGTTTGATAGTTACTGACAATCCCAAGCCATGTTTCTGTCCAACAACGACTGGAGCACCGGGCTGAGCGATGATATGTTTGCAGATGCTCCTGCCCGTGAATTTCCTCCGTAAGGGGCTTTGGGAGGCTCCTTAGCCAGGTAGTTAATTAACAGCATAGAAGCGAGTGGGAAAGGCGTGTAACAGCCACTGTGAAGCAGTATAATAATACCAGCATAGATAGAGATGCCGCCGTCTTCAACATTTTGTTCCTCTTGTTAGTTATCGCCGTAGTTAACGATGTAACTGACTGCGTAGGTCGAAGTACTGTATCATGGGGCCACCCAAAGCCCAAATCCATCACATCGCATTATTGATGCCTCGACCAAGCATCAACAGCTTGAAGCTTCCGCGATCACACACCAGACGATGAGTCCTGGCTGGAGGCTTACTCCTTTGCTTTCTCGGCGCTACCAATACAAGAACAAAGGATTCCCGGCGTCGCAACTCGTTTTGCAGCCAGGAGATCGATTTTCGTATTTGGTACCCTCACTGAGTCAACACCATCGGCAACAGAAGCATTATATCACCCAGAGTCGGATGTCGAGGACCTGGAAGGGTATAGGCCCGGCGGTTACCATCCAACCCTCGCTGGCGACAGCTTCTGCGATGGGCGCTACGCTGTAGTCCACAAGCATCGTTCTGGTGGCTATTCCACAATCTGGCTTGCCCGAGACCAGCAGCTTCAACGCTATGTGTCACTGAAGATACTGGTTGCAGGAGCTTCACAGGACACACATGAGAGCAAAATTCTCCAGCTGCTCTCAAAGGGCAACCTGAATGGTCCGGGAAAGCAATTCATACCCTCACTGCTGCACCAGTTCTCATTTGATGGCCCCAATGGACATCACCAGTGCTTGGTCGGAGTTCCTACTGGCTGCAGTGTAGCCAGTTCCAAGGAAAACAGTACAAACTTCATGTTTCCCCCTGATGCCGCCAGATCTCTGGCCGCACAGCTCATTATGGGTGTGGCTTATTTGCATTCAAATGATGTGTGCCATAGAGAGGCTGGTGGAACAGAAGAGAGCGCCTTGACTAGTTAAACATTGATATCTCCATCATTGTTTATCTGATGAACATGGGTGTCAGTAACCATAAGTTATCTGCAATGCCGAGAGAGACGGATCTATGATATCGAGTCCGCGGGCATTACACCGACTACGCCCGTTACTGGGTTTGTTCGAGGATACAGCAGGATCACTCTTGTCGAGAATAGATAACAGACTAGATGTAGAGGGAGCCTCGGCTCTAGTTAAGTTATTAGTTAGCTTGGCCCAGCGACTCCTTGTCGACCCGGAATAAATAACCATCCAATTGCTCTGACAGCGTCACTATACCGACAACTCCACGCCCTCCAACTGCAACTGCTACAGCTGCACCAGTCTATATCACATCGAGCGTTCTGGCTTCAGAATGAGCACAGCAGTCGGCGAAGACATGTCTGCCCCCACTCGCGCCTCCGTGCTGATCGCAAATCTATCCTCAGTCTCAAAACGCATTGCAGCAGCATCAAACAGCCGAAACAACCACAATGAAACCAGCCCCAGCCCCAGCGCCGGCCCTGTTGCCGTGACCTCGACCAGCGACAGTAGTAATAACTCTGCAGCTCCTCCCGTGCGCCTCGTCGCAGTATCCAAACTAAAGCCGGCCTCTGATATCCTGGCGCTTCACTCCCCACCTACATCCCACCTGCACTTCGGAGAAAACTATATGCAGGAACTCCTTGAGAAGTCCAAGGCCTTACCCCCCGAAATCAGATGGCACTTTATCGGCGGCCTGCAGTCGAACAAATGCGTTACACTTGCACGCGAGGTACGGGGACTCTGGGCCGTTGAGAGCGTGGATACAGAGAAGAAGGCGTCATTGCTGGACAAAGGCTGGGGCGAACGAGCGGAATTCAAGCAGAAAGAAAACGGCGCCAATGAACCTCCGGATAGACGGTTACGTGTGTTTGTGCAGGTTAATACGTCGGGAGAAGAGAATAAATCAGGCATACAGCCAGGCGAGCCTACGCTGGAACTGTGTCGGTTTATCAGAGAAAAGTGTCCTCGGCTGAAGCTCCAGGGTTTAATGACTATTGGGGCCATCGCGCGATCAAAGGCTACTACGCCGGAAAACGAGAATGAAGACTTTGCTTGTCTACGAGATACAAGAGATATGGTGGTGGAGAAGCTGTCGTTGAAGGGAGAGGACACATTGGAATTGAGCATGGGCATGAGCAATGATTTTGAGGGCGCGATTGCGATGGGCAGCAACCAGGTCAGAGTTGGAAGTACGATTTTTGGGGCTCGTCCACCCAAGGGCGAGGCGAAGTCGTAATTTAAAAGAGAGCCATCATTACCATAGGGCCCGCCCACCTGTATAGTTATTATTATAAGAATATAGATTGAAAAAACACTGGCCACGCTGGCTCAGAATTTGATGCCTTTATTTTTAGGGGAATATATAGGTAAATAGACATAGAGTGCTCGGTACCATGGTTAACTGAGAACTCTGGCATCCATGAATCCCGTATGGCTGCTAGTCGCCAAAGATATCGCCAACATTTCCTCTAGAGATTCTGTCCTCCATCAATTCAACCAAGGCTCGCGGCACACCCTCTTGGGTCGCCCGAATGGTGATGCGGTACATCTAGATATGTGTTAGTGAATTAGGTCAAAGACAAGAGTAATGCTAAATGAAAGAAATGCAAACATAGCTTACCTGTTTCTCATAGTTGGGCTCAAGCCTGAGTAAACATCCGGTCTTCGAGCTTTGGGTTTGGTAAACAGCACATCCAACAAGGTTCTTCTGATTCGGGTCAACATTTGCAAGAATCTTCCATTTGAAACTCTCGACAATTGACTGGAGATCTCTTTCGCTCAGAGGACGGCCCTTCTTTGCAAGGCCAAACGTCGATTGGCTTTCCAAGGGTCCACCGCCTATTTGCCGCCAACGCTTAAAGAAATCATCCGACGTCAGGGATGAAGCCTCAATGTATCTATGCATGAGGATAGGTAACTGCAGGGTATACGCTTGCAGTGCACCAGCAAGGTATGATATCCGGATCGTGGGCGCCTTGGTAAACGGGCCGAGGCACTCGAAGCAAACAGTTTGGTGTGTTTGACCAGATGCAACAACATCTGGGTCGGGTATATCCTTCGTATCAATCTTCAGACTCTCAGGTGAAGGGTTATCCAGCGTTATGGTAAACGACCCGATTGAATACGCGGATTTATTTGCAAAGTAAAGCTTGCAGACTCCGAGGTGAGCTCGGTACTCGGAACGAAGGCCAACCTGGATTTGGGCATCCTCAAACAACACTCCCTCAGTCGCGAAGAAGAGTCGGTTAAACCCAGGCTCCCAGTCCGGAGATAAATGGGCGGCACTGGCCAAGTTCGGTGCTGTTTCGCCGGATGAAGCAAAGTCCAACCCTTCCAGATCGCTGGATGTTGTACCTTTGGCCCCTGTCTGCTGTGCAGCAACCGGTCCGTTGGCAGCCGATGTGAAGGTGCGTTTCAAACCCGTATTCTGTGTCAACATAAACTCCTTATCATCTGCATTGGCATCTTTGCCTCCAACAACCCAGGTCCGCTTATCACTCGTTCCAGAGCTCTTTTGATGTAGCCGGGACAATAGGACTGAAATTCTCTCAGAGAAAGGTGGCATCTCGTCGCAGACGGTCCGCAGGAGGTCATCAGTAGGTAGCGTAGCAAGCATTAGGTATTCATAAGCCCGTTGTTGCATCTCTGAATCGGGCGAGTGGCTGTATACTTGGAAGACTCGAAGTATTTGAGGTTTGATCTCTGGGAAGAGATTCACAAACTTGATAAAGGATGATAGGAGCAGGGCCCGAGTGTTGTCAGAACAGAACGCCATCTTCGAGTATAGTGCCAGAAACTGCTCGATGGGTGAGCATCCTTTGTTATCTGCAATGAGATGGCCAAATTCGCCCAGGATATAACCACCGATCTTCACCAGACTGTCATGGCACTCTCCCTTGATATAACCCAAAATGTGTTGTGCGGCATAAGCTTGGAGCTCTTCGTTATTTGTAACTACCTGAACAACTCGCTGCCAAACTTCATCACTGACATGGTCGCCGGCCACAGACAACAGCTTGAGCGAGATATCAATGTACCATTGAGCATCCGTAGCATACTTTTCTGTTAGAATAGCAATCTTGAGTACCATTTCCTCCCGAATGGCAAAGTCGGCGCTTTGAAGGTGCTTGAGAAGCTCGTTAACGATGGGCCGGGCATTTGAGGTATCACACATGCTGTAAAGGAGATCCAACCCCTTTCTTCGGACACTAATATCCCTGTCTCGCAAAGATCCAAGAATAATGTTTTGATGCTTCTGTATAGGGTCAAGGGTCTCTGCCCTAGCTGCGAAATGAGTCATTGCATCCAGTCCAAGGTATCTCACGTTTGTTTCTCGGGATTGAATGAATTTCCCAAGGCGGGAGGAAATCTGCATCATGAGGGTGTGTTCACTGTCAAGGTGGATTAAGAGATTGATTGCTTCAAAGAGTACCGCGTTCTGCGCATTGTTTTGCTGGACATTTTTTGGCATATCCATGGCGGAGTTCATGATTTGTTGAATACTCTGCCTTATTAGATCTCTCACATGGACATCCTCTACCAGATTAGGAATGAAGATGGTTAGCTACCAACTTGTCTAAATTCCACGATTTTGGGACCAACTAACCCGAGGGAGGATAATACTGCAACAATCGAAGCAGTTTAACTTGCATCCAAGGACACCCAACATTGTAGTAGATGTAGTCGGGCGCAATATCATGGTCAATAACAATCCTTTTCAGTCGCTGGGCCGCTTTGACATAACTCCCCTTATATTGATCAGGGTTATCCTGGACAAGCGCCATGACTAGAGAGGTGACAGAGAGGGCTACGCCCATGTCTGGGTCGTCCATCAATGATACGATGCGCTCAGCCCACTCCTGCTGGACAATTCCTGGGTATTTACGGTATAGCCGGAGAAGGGTGAGGGCAGCCTTCTTCTTGACAAAGGCTTTGGATGCACTGGATTTATGTTATGTTAGTAAATTTAGGTTAGGCGGGTATATAACCAGGGATATAACAACATACGGGGATATTAATAAACGATGCACGTCCGCACTTAAGGCTTCACCCATTTCCCTTCCACCGACATTGGCAACCGCGTGTAGAGCAAGACAGTTGTTTAATTCATGGTGATCCAGCAGGTCCTTCCGGATACTATTCACTACCAAGTGGAGTAATTCATGCTGTTCGTGAAGAAAAAGCGTGACGGCCAGGTACCCTATTTGCTTCTCAGAATATTTCGTAGCAGATATCAGGTTGACAGCCTCCAAATGACCAAAATCGACATCATAGCCTTGAATATAGACGTATAGAAGTTTGCAAACATATTTCTTCTTCTGATAGCCGTTCAGGCTTCCATCCTTAAATTTCTGTCGGATATTGGCCAGCTCCTTATTGATACGTTTCTCCTCCAGTTCCCTAGCTCGAGCATTACGCAGATCAGCTATGAACTGAACCAGCCCGCGCATAGAAGACATGGCGACTCAGTTCGGCGCGAGATCCCGAATATCTGCTTCCGTGGTCTCCTCTTCCTTTTTGGCCTCTCTATCCTTCGGTTTGGTGCCAGCTTGGAGGTGTCAAGTTACGGTTCATGTGCATTCCACAGGTGCATTCTTCTTCCTAATCATTGCCAGGCACACGATGCCAGCATTTTTGATGACGGTATAGGTATCGCAAAGGGCGGATCTGGTCAGATATTGATCGCAATTCGGCGCCTATAGGCCGTGCAACACTCGCTGAAACGAGGGACGGAGGTGAACACTTTGGGGGAACAGGACAGACAAGGCACGCGTCTCCTAGCTTTCCTATCCAGGTACACAGCTCTATAAGCTCCTCGGGCTTCGCCGCATGCGTCCGCGGGGCGACAGAGTGTAGAACAAGAGGCAGGATGTTTCCTTGCTTGCTTGCTTGCTATCTTGCTGTCTGTTCCCCTGGCGTCCGTGAGGTCCAAATCGGGCGACAGCGAGCTCGAGGCGGAAAAACATTTTGCCGGATTATCAAACCGCCGGCTGGACCCCTGCGTCCGTGCGCCCTTCAACTGACCTCGATTTCGTTCTTGCGAGAAAAAAAGGACAAGCCGAAGGCCACGATCAAAGGGCGAAAGGCAGGTACAGAGCCTGTTTTCTCATGTATTAATACTACCAGGACTTAATTCCTGGGACTATACCTGCCCCTAACCTGGAATTCTACGCAGAGACAAAATAAAACACAGAGGAAACGAAGTCTGATGGACATTGACTCCTTGATATGCTGAGTAGCTAACCTAACGACGAGAAGGTGATATACCTTGCAAAAAAGCAGAAACCAGAAAATAAACAGCAGACCTGGCCCAAATTGACGAAACAAATGAAAAATGCCGCCCACAGCGTCGCAAACAAGCCTACCCCGAGTCCCCCTGAGCACCGCATTTAACCTTCTTTACACCTTGTAGGTGAAATCGATCTCTCCGGGGAAGTTTCCAGAGTCAACGGCCCTCTCGCACGTACACGAGTCTAAGGAATCTCAAAAATTAGCCTGTCTGCCATGCTCGCACGCAGAAAGAGGTGGAGATAGGTAAATCGAGCCATGCCGGGTCGAGGATGGAAGATGAAACGTACCAGCCCCCCTCTTTCCACAAGGGCATGCATCACCGGAAATAGGATGGTTTTCGGACATGGCCCTCTCACACGTACATTGCCCAGCCGGGCGGCTTCCTATTAGTCGTGCCACGAGTGCCCTTGTTAGATTTATCTTCCAGCAAGCGAGAAAACAACCCCCTCGACACGCAGTCGCGGCACGGAGGGGCAGGGACAAGGGGGGGAGATAAAAAGATATAAATTCAATGGCAAAAGACCGGAAATCAAGCAAGAAAAGAAGGAAAAGGCCAGAACATTAACCTACTGCAGGAACAACGTGGGCCAGACATGTCGTTTTCGGTTTCTGCCTTGGTGCAGTTGCAGTGAAGAGCCTGTTCCTTGCCACAAGAGCACCTTGCTTGAGCGGCACAAACACAACCCTCCTTGGATGCGTGACAGCAGGACTGTGGTGGAGCAGTCATTTTCGCGTGTTTTTATTCTGTTTTGATTCTGAATCTGCTCGACCGGGTATTTTCCCGTTATCTTCTTTTGGAAGGCGGATAATAGGTATCAGTATCAGATGGACGGCTGATTTCCAACAAAGAAAAATATCAGAGGAGGAATGCAAGAAAGGAAGATGGGCGGTTTATTCTGCCTATGGCTCGAGGGATAAGGTCTTTTTTATATGCCCTCCCTTACTTCGACCTCCTTCCTTTCCTCCAGCGCGCAATTACCAACATCTTGACTGCGATTGGATAAACAACTATATGCTTATTAAGCATGTAACTAATGTCATGTGACCTTGGTTTCGTCATAGTAAGGGTAGATAATTTGACAGAGGTGAACGGGAGAATGTGAATACCGGATGGACTGGGATTTAGAGGGAAATGAAGAGGCTAAATCCTCGAGGCTAATATAAAGTAAGTACGTACAGGAGCCAGAGTGCGATGTGGTCATTAAGGAGGTAATAGTTGGGCTTGGATGCAACACCATTACCAAACCACTTGTGGAATGAGCATCATCTCAGACAAAGGTGGCCTGAGATATAGAGGAAAATAAAACATAGGAAACAAGTAGCGCCGTAAAAGCCATCAAAATCAACCGCTTATTCAAATGAAAGGGGGGCGGAATAGAGAATAAGGAGGAAGGTATATCGAACAGTAGAAATTGGAAACCGGGTGAAAGGAATAAAAAACATGCCGATGCGGAAAGTAAAGCTAGAGAGATGCTTTCAAATGAAAACGCCATAAACCCCATAGATAAAAACGAAACATTATGTTTAGCCTTGGAAGACAAACAAAAGGCATCCTGAAAAGTATGTGCTAGAAAGGTAGACAAGGCCAGCAGAATATGGCAGGTAAAAATGGGGGTCATATGTTGTGAAAGTAATAGACAAGAATAGTAATAGGAGTAAATAGTAAGTAATAGTAGTAGTGAATGGATTTCCAGTAAGGGAAACTCTCATTACCGTCAAATGTATCTAAGTCAACTGTCACGTTGACAAGATATCATATCGTTTCTGTATTAGATTGATAGAAGTAGCCTCGCTGCCTTGGGGCGGAGTAATCCGGTTCTGGGTAGCAACTTAGTTTTTGCTGTATGGTTTGTTGCAGCCATGCTGTGCCATGATTGTTATAAGCACCATGCATATCGGAACTTTTGCTCGACGGATGAGATGTTGGATTGTTCGTGCTGGTAGATGGGCTTTGTCGAGGGTAGGTAATCCCAAATGAACTTAGGTTGAACTGCGGACCGAGCCCCGAGAGCTGATCCTCTTCCTGTGTGGATTGAAGGGGCGCAGACTGCAAGGCTACGGCGGCTGCACGACTATGGTCTGCCTTCGGCGGCGATCCTTCACCTATCCTTGGCGTAGCGGTCACAGGCTGTCCTACCGTCTTCTGCTTGAACTCTTCTGCCACAGAACCTATTGGCTGGTTAGCAAGTGTTGGGGAGGGGCTGTTTATGTTGACACTCATGGTTCTTACCTAGACCAAACGGATCTCTCCGAGTAGACGCATCCAGAGATCGACTGCCATATGCATTATTTATGTTTGTGGAGGAGTCTGTGTCTGTGTACTCCAAAGGCGGAGTATGGCAAGGGATAGTACCGCGCATAGGCAGATTCAGTGATCCTGCCCTCGCTCTGAGTGAGGTATTGTACATGTGAAGCTGTGGGACAGAGGGGCCATGCGCCCCCTGCTGTTCTCCAAAGCTTCTGGGTACAAAGTTCATACGGCCATGAATGGAGGGATTTGCAGAAGGCAGAGAACCAAAGCTGCCTATGCTGTCACTGGATGTCGACATACTAGATATTGAGTCAGAGCCGCGACTGTAGGCAGAACTATCCCGACCGAAATAGCTACCATAGGCTGACGTAGAGCTCAAAGGGGAAGTAGTGTAATCATCTGCTGCTGCCGTTCCCGCCCGCGCTGAGCCATATGGATCATTTTCTTCTGGCGGGAAGAAGGTGCCTGGGGAGACTAGAGGTGTGGTATAACCGTGGTGCTCCGTCGCATAGGACGATTGTAGAGACTGGGCCATATCAAAATCATCAGGAAGTGCCCGAGATTTCAAGACCCGCTCCCGATCGTCTAGAGATAGACGCTTGAGCTTTGCCCGCCTTTTCAACATTTATTATTAGCGTTATAATATTAAGATCATGGAATAAAAAGGGAGTATACCTATTCTGAAACCAGACCTGGACTTGCCGTGGGCTCAGTCCAGGAATTTCTCTAGATAACCTCTCACGGTGAGCAGCGTCTGGATGCGCTTGGCGAGTAAATTCACTCATAAGATATCGAGTTTGGTTATGGGTAAGCCTGTAAGGGTGGGTTAGCATAATTCGACAATATCTCAGACGTATGGTGGATCCTCAGTACCTAAACCGCTTCATCTTTTTCCTATCAATCTTCTCCCCTCCGGTAGGTTTCGGTTCGTCATCTGCGTCATGAATTTCCACGTCCTCTGTAGCAGGGCTGTATATTTCCTGCTTGCTATCGATATGCCCGCTATCGCTTTGCTGCTCCCCGTCACCGGGAGTCTGGGGACTTCCGGGGCAAGAGCTCGCTGAACTCGACTGTAGAGCATCCGTTAGGTCACTGCAGGAGAGGTCCCCCTGGCTACCCTTGTGGGAACCCATATAGCAACTATCACTAGGATCCTGTGAGCTGTGTCCTTGTTCAGCTGCCTTCAAATAGGCCAGACCTCGAATATCACATTGGCCCGGGGTTGCATCTGGCTCTTGCTTGAGCGAGTCGGTAATTGGCGATTCACAGAATTGCATCATCATCGTAGATGGATGGTAATTGTGCAACTGTGGTGATGGCAACTGGTCTCCTATCCGCGTGTTGGTCCAGCCAGAGACATCTGTATAGACTTCATGGGTCGACATGCTGTATTAAGGAGGAAGCAGAAACAGGGTAGCAAACTAGAAGAGACGGGGAAAGGGTTCAACGTGGGAGGGACTATAGTAGCAGATATATATCGTCAACTCGTGGTAGGTATCCGATGTTGCCGGAGGGCCACCTATGTTTCAGCCATAGATATGCCAATTGCCTGTCTGTTGTCTAGCTATCTGGAGATATGCTCCACTGGATCACTGCGGTTCAAAACAATAAGATGGAGAGTTTGTCCCCACAACGTCGATGTCAAAGGAAACTGACAGGTGTTGTCTGTAGTCAGGAAAAATCGATTCTCTTTTTGTGTAGTGATTGTGAGAAGCTGAGACGATCAGCAGGGAAGACTCAAGGCTCAAAAGGGACCCGATTCTCTGGGATCGAGGGCGACTTGTAATAATAGAGTTCGACTGGCCTACGACAAAAGAGGGAGGTAGTTGGGTTACAGGGTAGTTGGAGGCACACCGGTGGGAAAGTTAGAACGCTGCCGTATTTATCGACAGCGGCGGATAATTGACCGATACAGGCAGACATCGAACAAGGCGGCCAAGGGGGGGAAATCCGCCGTGAGGAGCACAAACGAAAAGGAAGAGAGTTCCAAGGTTGGCGTAGCCACGGGAAAATGACGACTTTGCATTCATTTCTTTTTCTTTCCCATTCCTTTTTTTTCCCTTGAAAAGAAAAAATACGGGATATCCGAGTACCTTAACACCAGATACAAAAAACATAGGAGCCGGGGTGCAACGGTCTCCTAGGAGTTTTGGGCTTGAATGATGAGAGGAGGGGGCCAGGATAAGCATAGACAGCCACCCTGTCATGCTCAGACCAGCATCTCGGAGTAGTGCCTAGCTTAGCTTAGCACATGGGGGAAGTATGCGATGCATGGGTTGTGGGTCATTCAAGGATGGGGATACCAAAGTCTCACGTTGATGCGAAGATCACAACACTCTTAAATTATTTTAAGAGGGATGCTGCACTTGATCGGATCCAACTCCTTATCGTTATGTACGTGATCACTGGGGGTCGCGTGCACCGACCACCACATAAGATCGTTTCTCAACATAAACTAGTCTGTTTTATCTTGTATTTCCTTTTCTTTGCTGATAATATCAGATTTCCAGAAACCGAAAACGAGAGCGAGGGGCGCCCTTATCATATTGGCTGTAACACAGCAAGAGAAAGCATTTTTTTTATGCTTTACAAGTAAACAAGGGAGAATTGGCTGTATGTGCCAACCTCGTCTCCCCGGAAAATAGACGAAGGGCCAAAAGCCCCCCAAAAGAAAAGTGGAAGATTTACCTGGAAGATGCATGTATTATTCTGGGTCTTGAGTCTGAAGCCTTGGAGATCCCTGGGAGGCTGGGGTAAGACCGCTTAGGAGACCCTGCAAATCTTAAGCCTCTCCTGTGGGCCAATACTGGCTGGCAGAAGGAAGAGAAGGTCGAGAAAAGATAGGCGTTCGATAAAGCATCCAGAGTCATGCTCCTCTTCCACATTTTTATCTTTCCCAGCTCTATCCGGGCGTGGCTTATGGGGTGACAGGGGCGCAAGTGTAGCTGGAACCAATGCGGGGCATGCAGAACAGCCCGTAGGGTAGCATCATAGACGGGCGGTTGTTGGACAGAAGTCCTGAAGAGAGATTGGCCACAACAGCACGAGAACGAATGCTGGCACACAGTTCGACGCAAAGCCCATGGCGTTGAGTGGGAGCCGCCAGTTGGAGATCAGGTAAGGCTACCACAAACCAAAAATCCCACCCCCCCCCCCCCTGGATTTCTGGAAGAGGAATAGAGGCTATGCCCGCGGGAATTGCAAAACCGACTAGTCACGAATTAAAAGAGACGCAGAAAGGGCACGGTCAGATCGGACCGGCCCCCGAGGTTGGCTTAGGCTCTTCAGTGAAAGACGTCCTTTCTAATATAACCTTTCAAACGTCGTGAGGATATATCTTGCAGGAGTGCACCGTAATGACTGCCCAAGTTCCTTGAAAAGCTGGAAGTAGGCGCTTCCCTCTTGGGTGAGCGGGAAAGAAATCAGGCGGGATGCGAAGACGGGTCGTGTCCTAGGCCGGCTAGGTAGCCATCAAGCACCGCCCACTCAAGCTTTCTTCCTATCGAGGCTTCCCGCCATCAATCGACCCAAGGCAAGCCAGATGATCCGCAGATGTAACAGGCAGTGTAAGTAGGCAGCTGGCCGGTAAGGTATGCAGGCAAGCAGGCTGGCAGGAGTGTGGTGTATGGTGGGTCACTCAATTACCGTATCTCATGCAGGTATGTAAGAAATACGTACAACGTAAAGGTCCCATCATGCAAAAAATAAAAGAAAAAAGAAGTCTCGAAAGGAAACATCCATGAAGATGACAGGGAAAGAGTCGAGCCAAGGGCGCAACAGCCCGGGTAATTGGCTGATCTAAAGCGAAGGCAAATCTTTTGCACGCTGGAAGGCCAGCCTAGCAGCTGGAGGATGGAGAGACAGGGATGGACGACATTAAACCGGCCCGGAGCCAGATGCGACTCTTACAGGTCTGTCTGTCCGTCCGCATATGCATGCTGGTGTGACTTATCTGTATGGATGGATGACTGTTTTTTCAGCCGTTTCCAGGCCAAGGGGATCCGGAGGCGCGGGAGGGACAAGAAAAGGACGAAGCAACAGCAGCTGGTTTCCACCAACCGCGGAGGCCTTCGTTGGACATCTCAACCTTGCATCGAAGCGAAATGTGCAGGCTGCAAGAGAGTGAAGGACTGCTAAGGGCTGGGAACCGGGATATTGAAACCGTCCACGTGACTTACCAAGTGTTATTGTTCTTCTTTTCTTTTTCCTTCTTCGTCTCTTCATCTTCCTTGCAATCGACGTCTTCTCGTCTTCTCGGCGGCCCCAGAAGCCAGATATCCCGCCGAATCTTGTCGGAGATGGCTGGAGATGGAGATTGGATGGATAATTATAGCCCACCCGGCGACGTCAGCGATCGGAGGACAGGCTAGGCGTATAAGGTTGCCGCAGATCGGGGCTTCTGTGATGCTTCCATGAGCCAGCCGATGGACCGGTCAGAGAAATGGCTACTTTAGTGCCCGCTGCAGACTTTGTGTGGCAGCTAGAGACAAAACTCTGCTGGAAAACCGCGATTCGGAGTTCCACTGTCTGGTAGTGATTTTAATATTAGAGGCTCTGATGTGGGAACGAAGTCACGAAACCGTTGAGACAGTTACATGCATGCAGCCAGGATAGCCATGGGAGCTGTCAGAAGCAAAAATCAGACAGCAAACAGAGAGCGATTGACGGGCTTGACGGCAAACGGCAAACACGCAAGCCAGGAGGAGCCTTTGCGATGCGCACTGGCTCTGTTTCCCCCTTCGTCGCCACTCCGAATCATGTATGGAGCACCGAGGGAGAAGGATTGGACAATCTGAATATTGTCAGAAGTGCAAGCAGGACTGCTGCGTACCTGCAGATAGCAGAGCCAACGCAGCTTCAAGGATCCAAGCTACGGACATCTCTCCTGTCCGACGGAGTTCTCCGTTACGCGCTTGACATGTTTTTTCTGACTTGATCAACCTTTTTTTGCGTCGATCTAGCCATGGATACCTTGCATCGCTGTTTGCTGGTGGTGCTTGCTTGAAACTTGTCCGTTTTGCGGGATCTTTGCAAATAGCCGGCTGTTCTGTTGTTCGGGGGAATCCATTGCTGTCTCACGCTAATATACACAATGATGGCAAGCTCCGGCCGGGGTTGGTGATAGTCTCTTGTCCCTTGAAGAAAAATAGAGAAAGAAAGAAATCGTCTCCTATCTCCTCCCTCATTTTTTTTTTCTTTTACCCTCCTTGCTCCTTGCCCATTAAACCAATTTCGAAATCGTTTCAGCCCTGCCGCAACGAAATATTCCGTCAACCTCGCCTTATTCCTTATTAAGCAGGTGCCAATGCTTTCTTCAAAAAAACACGTTGTATAACTTCTTTTCGTATCTCCCGGGGAATAAGAGCTAGGCTGGGCATCGCCTGAAACTAAGTATGTAGATATCGGTCCGGAACCCAGTGCCGGGGATTTGATCCTGGCTGCTGCCGTCGCGTCTGCGTCAACTGTGCCACTGGTCACATCTGCTCACATATATCTATCGTCACCACGTAGCATGCATGTCCTTTAGATTCTGCATATCACTGCATGACAACATTGGTCCTGCAATCTAGTCGAAACCAATATAACCCGAATGCACGTAGGAATTGAGCACAGAATGGTTCGTTCCTGCACAGTTGATAGATCTGGGTTACAACCACGTGGAAGCTCATGAACCAATATTGCTTCATGACTCGTTTTTTGAAGCCGGGTTGAAGCCACCCGAAATTTGTTGAACGATCTGCAGATATGAGCCGATTTAGGTAAAGGGTACAAGGTCAAGTTTGAGTGGGTTGGGGTTCTGGGGCAGTAGTGTCAACGTTGCTTCCTTTGGTTTCATCTTCTTTGGAAATGTCAGCAGTATTCTCAGTCTCTGACTGTTGTTTTCCTGACGTGGAAGTTGGTGCTGGCGTGGCCTCAAAAAGCACTTTCAGGTTTTTCCCGTCCTCTATTTTATCCAGTTGACTGAGTTTACTCCTCGAAGCAATTCTCAATGTCCTCCAAGTTTTGCTTGCCTTGGCTTTGATGGATTGTTCTTTTTCTTCATCGTCTTTTGCCATGTCGATGTTAAAGTCGTCATCTGTTATACCACTCATATAGAAGTCAAGGCTGGGGGTTGAAAATCTACCACAAAAAGATTAGCAAAATCACTATCTCCCACGTTGTACCATTGCTACCATACCTTCCAGGCTCTTTCAGACGATTAAGATCCCCAAGATTTGATTCTACAGAAAGGAACCCAAGATCCAGCGAACCCATAGGAGTTGAGCGAAGCCGTCTGTTGGCTGTGATTTTGGCAGCACTTGACTGAGTATCCAAATGACTCTGTACAGGTACAGGTGGCCGTTCGATTGGTGGACATCCTTCTGCCTTCCATCGGACCCAGTTTTTATCTCTCGTCAGGACAGTGTCTACCATCCGGAAATAAAACTTTCCATCTGCGCCCTTTTGCAGGTAGCTCGCAATAGAAGATCTCATTTGGGTTGCCCACTTCGCCTAAGGTGACGGACTCAGCCATTGTCGGAGTTTGTTTGTTAAACCAGGATCTGTTTGCACTCACATCTTCATCGCTTAAAACATAACCGTAAAGAACGGACTTGTTGGTAGAATCAGCCAACTTGGCTTTGGACTTTGGCGTTAGCGAAAGCAAAAAATCAAGGAGAATCAAGGCCTGGACTAGAATATGTCTGCGGAAAGACACATCATTGATCTAGACCACAGTTAGCAAAGATATATCAACCCAGATACTGTTCGTCATACCTCAAGTTCAAATAAATCCCTACTAGTCAAATACTTGGGGTTGAAACTATTGGGCAAATCGGCTCCTCCTTCACCACGCTTGCGTTTTGTGCCTCGTCGTAATTCGTCTGAGCCCTTTGTTGTGCTACGAACCTCTAACTTTGAGCTTACTTTTCGGAAACTTGAGAGAGTTGCTTCCAGTCCAGATTTCAGAGATGCGAAGTGTGCGGTATCGAACAGTCTAGTGGGCTTAGAGAAACTCTCTTGAAGGCTCCAAAATGCAGCATAAAGGGTATCAAGCTCAAGTTCCGGCTGAATACCGGAGGCATTTCCGCGTTGGGGTGTAGCTTCATTGGTCGATTCCAAAGGTGTCTGAGCCGTTGTAGGCTCTTGCTCGGTACTCTTTGCATTGGAAACCAAAGTCTCGTCTTCTTGTATGTCTATATCCATCACCTCATCGCTTTCCGCCTGCGTTTTAGGTTGCGCATCGAATGTCGTGACATTTTCGGTGTGGTATTCTCCTCGGAGGTTCACGGAACTTTTATCACCCAAGGGGAAAGATTGGAAAAGGAAAATGAAAACACGACCACAAAAGACTGTGTCTTCAGCACGAGAGAGCCTCCTCAGCAGTTCGTTGCATGATCTGAGAATGATCAGAGACTTTTGTTTGAAGTGTTTCTATACATAAATAAAGATTAGCAACTGTCTAGGATTTATGAAATCAATGGGACTCACAGCAGTATTGCGCTCTCTTCTAGATTCGAGATAGTCAAACACTATTCTGCATCCGTCTATAGTTTGGCTATCCAGGAGTTCCTCTATAAGCCAGAATATGAGGCCCGGTTCGCATTTTTCTAGAGAACGCCTTCAGTATAAGTTCGACCAGTGTTGCGCCTCTCTTACAGTCCATTGAAAGACGTACCGTTGTCCGAAAAGATGGAGACAATATCTAAAAGGTTCCATATCTGCATAAACGAGGGCTCATCGATGGAGGTTGTAGCCTACAGGCGAGTGTGTTAGCAGAGGCCTTCCCAATGGACTGGAGGTAGAGGACGAACAAGCAAATCATAAAATATTTCGCGAAATGCAGTCTCAACCGCAGCATACTGAGTCTGCTGATTAGCCCCCACGGATACGCCATAATCACCTGCTAAAACACGCTCGATGACGTCTCCCAGGTTGGCTTCAGTCACTGGCGGCTCGATTGTAGGCGCATTCTTGAACGCGGCAGCTTTTTCCAGCAAGCTGCGTATAACATCCCTGTATACCTTCACGGCTCCCACATCCTTTCCACCCATCCTCAGGACGCTTTTATTTCTGCTTCTGCCGGCGAAAATGTGTGATGTTGACCAGGGCGAAGAGGCGCAAAGAGTGTGTTGTGGTTGACTATCAAATGTCGTTGCTTTCTCTTTGTCCTCTTTGAGACTTTTGACCTGGAGCTTTGCCGCACATGATCCGTGCGCCGCGCCAAAACCTCACCTAAGCCTAGTTAACCAACTAAACCACCAGATAAATATCAAATCCAATTTAATTCTACGAACAAGCCGGTGGTCTGCTGCTTCCAGGTGCCGCCGCGCAAAAGAACGAGGCGCATTCTCTTTGCTTGTAATGACCGAATTACAGATGCGCCCCGCAATGGCGCGTAACCTCGATGTCCGACCGACGGTTAATGACTTCCAAGACGAAAATCCATGGGTGTCTCTAGCTAAAGCTCACTGGCTGAAGGCTAGCAAAGTGCGCAAAGCGAGGCCAGAGGTGGTCAAGAATGAGATTTGGGATCCTCTGCAGCGTGATGGGTTCCCTCTTCATTCCCTTTTAATACTAGAAAATCTGCACATTCTTGAGAGGTAAATACACACGCCGCAGCTCTGTGGTTTATTGTCGATTTGACTAACACTATTACGCAAAGGTTTCTTTGGCCAACATTTACAGAAGATGCATCGAACTACCATGTTATGTTAATTGCTGTAATTGTAGGAATAAAGAGAAGGGAGCATTTACCCATTTGGAGTACGTATACCCTGAGAAATCCCATTTATGTTGGACATATCTAACGCCAGACACACCTATTAGCCCATTTCTTCGACCGCCCTTCGGATTTCTCAGTCCTCTTCAGACGTATACTCTCTATGAACCTCGACGATACACTACCACTGCCTTCGAAAATACATCTTCTGTCTTTCGTGATCGGTGCTTTTCAATCTCTTGAATGCAGCCAGATTCGCAAAGAGTGTGCTCCACTGGTTTCCATTGCTATATGGGACAATCTTTTCAGCAAGGAATCGAGGGACAATTTGCTTCAGCAGTCAGCAGCACTGAAAAAGGCGTGGCGATTGGCCGGCAAACGATATGACTCGGCAGATGAGCAAGGGAAGTCGAGGATACGATTTGAAAGGTCATGGCTATACTCTATGCTCATTGAATTTCTCAAACGTATAAATCCCGCCCAAGTCGAGCGCAACGGCGAAGATAATATTCGATTTTGTGAAAGATTTCTGGAACTATTGGTGGACCTCGAGAGTCAGCTCCCTACTCGACGATACGTGAATGAATTGTTGAAGGATCTTAATATTTTAGCTGTTCTTCGCAAGAGCAAGCTCTATAACGATGATAAAAATACTCTATTTAGGGATTTTTATGTTCTGCTACGGCGATTTATCAACTTCTCTATTGATGATCAAACCGGCCAACATCTGTCAGCGCAAGACGCCTACAACATCCACTGTCAAGAATTGGCACGTCTTCAAAGGACTGCACTTAAGCATTTCAAAGATGACCTAACGCTGCTTGCATTAGCAAACTACGGATCACTTGAGCAACGGTCCGAGCTTGCGGAACATCTCCGCAGCATTAATGATTCGCAATTGAAGCAGCTTTGCCACCTATTGGGATTCAGAACCTCCTATCCTGAGCACACAAATATTGTACTTGACCGAGAGCTACTCCTGGAAATACTCCTTTTATATTTCGAAAGACGGCCAACTTTCCAAGAAGCCACTGCAGATGTCAGCATCCTTCCTACTGAGGAGTCATTATATGACCCCGCCTTGGTTCGAAATGAAACATATGATGGTTCTAGGCCTCTCGCGATTCCAAAGCTGAACCTCCAATATCTCAGCCTAGGTGACTTTTTGTGGAGGTCATTTCTTTTATACCGGTCTGAGTCTTTCTATGAAATTAAGAGCGACCTGGAATCCATTGTCAAACGAATGCAGCCAAAATCGGGACAAGATGGCAAGGTTTTATTCGACGGGTTCTCTAGAATGGCTTTGCCTATTTCAAAGCCTGCTATAATCGATGTGGCTCAGGCACGAGTAGGGTCTCTTCATCCAGCCTATGTTCGCTCAGAAATAACTCTCGAAGTTGGCAGGCTCGGTGACACTATCCGACAAGAGTGGGAATCGCTTCGGCCAGATGATGTTGTCTTTTTACTTTCAGTGACGCCCAAACAGGTAGATAAGTCTAGCCTTGCAGCCAGCCAACGATCAGAGTCTAGAAACAGCATTAATATCTCTCACATTCGAACTGGCACAGTGGTTCAAATCCTGGATGAGAATGGGCGCCAGTTACGGGATACTTCACAAGGCAGAGCTAACGGCTATTCCCAACGACCTCGTCTAAGGAGACTTATTGTGAACTTGGATGCAGTTTCTTATAAAGCTGATCTAGACAGTGTACAAAAGGGCAAACCAGATATTTACGGCTTCATAAATGTGCTTGTACGCCGAAAATCACGAGAGAACAACTTCCGACCTATTTTGGAGACGATGCGATCATTGACTATTACCGATGCAGAGCTTCCGTCGTGGCTCCAGGAGGTTTTCCTGGGCTATGGTGATCCTGCCGGCGCGAGATATACAGAGCTTGAAAGCCGTGTGAAGTCTGTTGATTATCGAGATACTTTCCTTGACTGGCATCATCTTGTGGAGAGCTTCCCAGGGCAGAAAATGGAGCCTCCGGAAGGCTCTACGACCATCTTTGGGCCCCCTTACGTTCTCGAAATGGTTGATGAATCGCCAAAAGCCGAGACACTGAACCCTTCCAAGAAACGAAGAAGAGACCAGGCTGAGTCAGTACAGCCAATTTCCAATTCTATCAAAGTATCTACATATAAGCCTCCGAACCCTGGCCCCTATCCCATGGATGCCCCGAAACTCAACCAAGTTCGATTCACTCCTGCTCAGGTTGAGGCCATTACCTCCGGGACTCAGCCAGGGTTGACGGTGATAGTTGGCCCTCCAGGAACCGGCAAAACGGATGTGATTACCCAGATTATAAACAATATCTACCATAATTTTCCCCAGGAGCGTACCCTGCTCATTGCCCACAGCAACCAAGCACTCAACCAGCTATTCCAAAAAATTGTTGCGTTGGACATTGACGAGCGCCATTTACTTCGTCTTGGCCATGGAGAGGAAGAGCTCGAGACAGAGTCTAATTTTGGCAAATTTGGCCGAGTCGAGTCATTCCTTGAAAATCGAGTAAAGTTCCTCTCAGAGGTCGACCGTCTCGCTGCCTCAATTGGAGCCGAAGGAGCTCATGGAAGTACCTGTGAAACAGCGGGGTATTTTGATACTGTCTATATACGTCCAGCATGGATCAAATTTTGGGATAAGGTGCGATCCGATGGTTCGACAAGTGAAGAAATTATCAAGCACTTCCCTTTCCACGGGTTTTTCTCCAACGCCCCTCAGCCTGTGTTCCCGGCAGATGCCTCGAAAGATACGCTCATCGACATTGCCGAAGGGTGTGAGAGACATATAAGGAAACTCTTCTCTGAGCTGGAAGATATAAGGCCATTTGAGATTCTACGACAACAGCGGGATAAGGCCAACTATCTGCTGATTAAAGAGGCCAGAATCATTGCCATGACCTCCACCCATGCCGCTATGAGACGACAGGAGATTTCTGATCTGGGCTTCCACTATGACAGCGTGGTCATGGAAGAAGCAGCACAGATCACGGAGATTGAAAGTGTGATCCCGTGCATGATGCAGAAGACGAAGAATGGAGAATTCCCCCTGAAGCGGATTGTGTTATGCGGTGATCACTTGCAGAACTCACCGATTGTCCAAAACATAGCATTTCGCCAGTACGCCAATTTTGAACAAACGCTGTTCCTACGGTTGGTGAGACTCGGTGTGCCTACCATCAACCTTGACCAGCAGGGTCGGGCCCGCGCCTCCATTGCCGAGTTGTTCAAATGGCGGTATGAGAAGCTAGGCAATCTCCCCATTGTCGAGAATCAAGAGGAGTTCAAGCTTGCCAACGCCGGCTTCCGCTACGACTACCAGCTCATCAACGTGTCAGACTACCAGGGCCAAGGTGAAAGGGAGCCGACTCCCCACTTTATCCAGAATCTCGGTGAGGCCGAATACGCAGTTGGGATTTACCAATATATGCGATTACTGGGGTATCCGGCATCGAAGATCTCGATTCTAGCCACATACGCAGGACAGAAGGCATTGATCAAAGATGTTCTGAGCCACAGGTGTGCAAAGAACTCTCTTTTCGGTATGCCCAAAATCGTCACAACAGTAGACAAGTACCAGGGCGAACAGAATGACTGTAAGTGCCCATCAACAAATCTTTTAACATCGACCCGCCCCTGATAATTTCGCTTTAATTTTATTCTAGATATCATTCTTTCTCTCACCCGCACTAAGTCTGTGGGCTACCTGCGAGACGTACGACGGCTTACTGTAGCACTATCTCGAGCACGCTTGGGTCTTTACATTCTCGGCCGCCGAGAGGTTTTTGAATCCTGCTTTGAACTCAAGCCTGCATTTGATATTCTGGGTCAACGCCCAGATAAGCTGATGCTTATACCCAACGAGATGTTCCCGGCAACAAGGGCAGTAGATGCTGCAGACAACGAGGGCACTCCCATGGAGAACCTTGAGCATCTTGGACAGTATGTATTCGAGATGACGCAGGCCAAAGTAAAAGCTCTTGGGGTGGAGACGACCGTTGTTGAGGCTGGCGATGAAAATGACGTGCCAGCAGGAGAGTCCGATGATGAAGACGATACTGCACGGGAAGGTGCTATTGAGTAGCTAACCAGGGGCATGCCACTTTGATGTTTAATTATGTGGAATTTGGAATTTATTACATGTATGAACAGAGCCATTGTTTTCCTCCTGAGTGATTTCCCCATTATAGAATAACCCGTTAACGGGTATTTCTCTATATCTATCCTATCAGTTAGTTATATATGTCCCACTCTCCCGTGTGTTAAATTACAAAAAGGCCCTGTCCATTGGCCCTGTTAGCCGTGTTCTGAAAATTTCAAGGGCAA